AACGGGGAAAGAGAGTCATCAAAAATTGTTTCTGCACACAAACACGCCCTTCTGTGACTTAGGGTGATAGAAGAATCCAATGAGCTTTAACCCAGCACTGCATCCAAATAATTTGAAATCAACAGCATATTAGCAGTCAGAAACGACTGGCATTTTTCTAATAAAAGAGCAGATTCAGACTTTGTCAGGTTCAGAAATTTGATAAGGGATGTACGGCAGCAAAAGGGCACTCATACAAGATGGAAATCTACCTCAGCACAGCTCTGATTGAGAAAGCCTTGGCCTTACCCAGAGAAAATGGTTTAACCTTGCTTGGTTCAATTTATATTTATAAACTTGTGAAGTGACTGATAAAATACTGTGCATGAAAATGCAAAAGAAAGGGAAGTAAAAGAGCTTTTCCATTCCTTCGCACAGCATCTCAAAAAAAAGAGAAGAAGACAGTATTTTGCTTAGCAGGGACAGTGGGTGGAGGAAGCCAGCCTTTTAACATATTTTGCTATGCATTTAATAATGAAAAAGCAACCATAAGCCACAATCTTAACAAGGCCAGTGAGAAATGACTAAAGAGAAGAAATTTCTGATGAAGGTCAAGGCAACTGATGCTTTGTGGGAGTTCTGGGAAATGTTATGTTGTGAGATAAATAATGAACAAGAGAACCTCAAACAGATTTTTATGTAAATTTAAATACTGATGGGCAAACAGAAACTTCTGCAGAACCTCTGGTTCACAGCTTTAATGAGATGAAATGAGATGTGCCAGAACAGGATTTCTCAACTTGATTGTTAGGAACTGGAGTCACTCCCTTTCCAACTACGCCCACTTTTTCTGCTTTCTTTTCTGCTTTTTTTTTTTTAAAAGGATAGCACAATTCTAAATCTCTGCTTTAAAGCAGATTTTCCCAACCTGGTGCATCTCCAGATGTTGTTGGACTCTATCTCCTGTCACCCCCAGGCAACATGGCCAATAGTCAGGGATGGTGAGAAGTGTAGTCCAAAACGAAAACTGTAATGACCACATTATTTTCCCATAGTAATTACAGTGATACCTCGGGTTAAGAACTTAATTCGTTCTGGAGGTCCATTCTTAACCTGAAACTGTTCTTAACCTGAGGTACCACTTTAGCTAATGGAACCTCCCACTGCCGCCGCCACGCGATTTCAGTTCTCATCCTGAAGCAAAGTTCTTAACCCGAGGTACTATTTCTGGGTTAGCGGAAGTGTCTATAACCTGAAGCGTCTGTAACCCAAGGTACCACTGTATTCTTTCTTTGAAATCTCCTGAGCTGGATACTACAGAATGGGCTTTTCTCTTAAACAACTTGGATAACTAGAGGTTTGTCCATGTACGACCACAGCCTCTGTCCACTCATGCTGTTCTTTTCTTCTCATTGCACATGTACCTTAACAGCTCACCAAGGAGGACCAGCAGTGGTATCATTCCCCATCAGCCCATCAGCCTTGTGGTTGGTGAGCCTGGCATCTCTGAGCACATTTTGAATCCCTAACTCAAATTAGCTGAATTTAAGTCAACAAGCCCAAATGGTATTTTTTGTGGGGAGGGAGACTTCACATATTTCAAACAGCCCTCCATTACTCCCCACCCCCTCCGTGGTATTGGAAACATAAGTTTGCAAACAAGAATTTGGGAAGAAAAGCAGTTTGGGTTGGGGGAACAGAAGAAGAATGAAAAATTAGGCAATGAAAAGGTTCCACATTGTTTCTCTTGCTATTACTCTGTTCTGAACGCCCCTCCTGCAAGAACTTTTCCATTTCATTCATAATTTTAAAAAGGACAAAGCATTGTGACATTGTGGGAGCTGGCATTTATTGGGCATTCTGCCCCTTTGGAAAACTTTGGAAACAATTTTCTGAAGTCAAATCACAGCAGTTTCCTTAGTGAGCTATCAGGGCACCTATATTATGTCCTAATATTTCCATATGGCGATAGAAAGCATATGCAATGTGGAAATCACAGCATTCCCTTATCAGTGATCAGCTTGAGGTTTGTAGCACTGAAAAATTAATGGCACTGATTTATGGAAGATACTCCTCCGGCTGGACATTATCAGCTTGATCCTCGCAGTAAGAATGGAATCATTATGTCTCTTCATCTTCCAGCCCCACTGACTAAAAGGCGGCTGTAATCTTCCCGTGCAATATGACAGGAGAAAATGTTGTCTGCTCAATAACGCATAAACACCTATTTGCCAATGTCAAACTTTCCCCCTTCCTCTGCACCCTCAAGGCAGCTAAAGAATTATGCCTGCTTTCAAATATGATATCTAATTTCCCCACCAAGAGATACTGTTGTGTTTTGATACTTCATATTACAGATACGGGAGAGAAGATTGGGTGAAATTGGGCAATTTTTGTGTTTTTATCGACACAACTTTTTGTAATCAGTATATGTTCACATCACACACCACTCTCCTATTACGCCTAACTGAAATACACATTGTCGATGTCAGACTACCCTTTTGAAAATAAAAATGTCTGTCAGAATAAACGACATTCTTTTGGCCTGTCAAACAGTAATGTATTCCTAGGAAAATGTGTTTGACATGAAAGCTGACAGTGCCATCTCCTTAACATGTAGAATTGTTTCATTGCAGAGCCAGAAAATAGTTGAAAGTTAACTTTCATCTCTAAGGTAGAACACCTCCCCCAAAACAGCTGTAACAGATGAGCTAATGTATTCTAGCTTTCCACAAGACAACTGCAATGCCAGAGACCACGGAGGGCAACAACAACAACAAAAATACAAGTTATGGACCACAGGTATGAAATTTACGGCTTGTAATGCCTTAAGAGAAAATATAATGAAAATGATTTACAGGTGGTACTTAACCCCAGTCAAGCTAGCAAAAAATTATCATTTGCCAGATAGTAAATGTTGGAAATGTAAAGAGACGGAGGGTACATTTTTTCACCTTTGGTGGACATGCCCAAGGATTAAGGCTTTCTGGGAAATGATATATAATGAATTGAAAAAGGTATTTAAATATACCTTTCTGAAGAAACCAGAGGCCTTTCTTCTGGGCATGGTCGGCCAATTGGTGCGAAGGGAGGATAGAACTTTCTTTATGTATGCTACAACAGCAGCAAGAACACTCATTGGGAAGTACTGGAAGACACAAGAATTGCCTACCCGAGAAGAATGGCAGATGAAAGTGATGGACTACATGGAACTGGCTGAGATGACCGGCAGAATTCGAGACCAGGGAGAAGGGTCGATGGAAGAAGATTGGAAAAAATTCAAAATATACCTTCAAAAACACTGCAATATAAAAGAATGTTAGAAAGAGGTTGGAAAAAGAATATTAGGTCGTTCTGGCAGATATGATATAATGGACTAAGCAAAAATGAGGTGTTGAAATTGATGAAATAGAGGAGGTTTAATTACATTATTTTAATTTTAAAATACGTAAGTGAAAATAAGGTTAGAAGGATTTGCTGGAAATACGATCTGAACTAGAATACAAAATTGGGAGGTGAGAGGAGGTCATGGAAATAAGTAAAGGGAAAAGGCTAAGTAAAGGTTTAATCTGTTTTTGTTTTATTTTAACTTAATGTATTTTTATATTTTTTGTTAAGTCTTTTTTTATATTCTATTTTATTGTTCTTTTTTATTTGTTCATTCTACGTTTTGTTACGGTTAAAGTTTTCTTTGTATTTTGTATGGTTTTTCTTTTTCTTTTTTGTAACTTTAAATTTGGAATAAATATCTTTTAAAAAAAAAATACTATACATATATCCTAGTGGCATAAGTAGGTATTAGTGCTGGCTGCAGAAAGCTGTGAGAGATCCCCAACATTTTTATCATTAGGACCCCCCCTCCCCCCGTATCAGAGGCTCTGTGTCTCCAAATATCAGGGGAACACAAGGGAAGAATGCTATTCCACATATGTCCTGATTTTGCACTTCCTAGAAGAACTGTGAGAACATAATGGAGGCTCTTACCAAAGGTCCATCCATCTTGCCTCCCATAGTGACCTACCCATTAGCAGGGCATGAAGGCAATAGAGCTCACCTGCTGTTGTTCTCCACCAGTGGAGAAACCTCAAACATAGCATCAGAGAATTACAGGAGATCCAGACCACGAAATTTGATTTCTACCACTTCAGATTTTGTATCACCCACAACAACCCCACTGAGTACAGATATAAGGCATGCACACATGCGCTGTCTTACTTGCAGTGGGCAGCAGTCCATTTGGGTCAATGGGACACTGCCCTGCCAACAACAGTCTGCTCCAGCCAGTCCTCATCTGTCTACCTTGCTGCTTACAGCAAGGCACTGCCTGTCATCTTTTTCCTTCTTTTATATATACATAATTTTTATTTTAAAAAATTCTAATATAGAGACAAATCTGCATATCAGAAAAAGTAGCTGTGTGTGTGTGTGTGTGTGTGAGAGAGAGAGAGAGAGAGAGAGAGAGAGAGAGAGAAGCTGTAGGTCTAGAAGACAAGCTTCAGATTTTCTTCTTCTTTCTTCAAGGAACTATTAAAAGAGAAGAAGCAATGGGTCTTTTGAGATGCAGAGAATAGGCCTCAGAAGTCAGACTTGAGACCAATTTTGTTCAATACTTTCATTAATGACCTTGGGGATGGAATAAAAACATGTTGATAACATTTATGAATAACATCACGTCAGCACTGCAAAGCACTAGAAATGCAGAGAAGCATAGTGAATCTATGCTAGGCGATTTGGGTGATTTTGCAACCTAGAGCAGTAGAAATGGAATAAAATGAAATATGACTGTATAAGGAAGGGGTTGGGAACAACCAGCCCATGAGCCAGATGTGGCCCTTGGGGCTTTCCCGTGTGGCCCATAGCATCCCCTCTTCATCACTTCCCTCCACTGCTACAATTAGGCTTGGAAAAAGTCTTTTGTTGGAATACTTTTCCCAAACAAGTTTGCAGCGCAGGGGCATTTTCAGGAGCTTGCAACTCAGCAGGGAAGAATTAACAACCCCCCACAGAGCATACTTTCCTACACACACACAAACACACGCACACACACCAAACAAACTCCTCATACCACAATGAGGCTTGGAAAAGAAGCCTTCTGCTGGAGCTAACTATAAGACAAGATCCGTTAGTTCAGTATATATATATATGTGTGTGTGTGTGTGTGTGTGTGTGTGTGTGTGTGTGTGTATATTGCTTCACAAAACCAAAAGGTACCCCCAAGTGATTTACAGGATAATAAAAAGACAAAATACAATGTTATTTCTTACCACTTGAGGGCTCGCAGCAAGTGGTAGGGAGTTGATGGTTACATGCTCCTGCTTCTGCAATGGAAATTCACTTGTACATCTGCCATAGGACCTCAGGTTTCCCTTCTTCCCCTCTAGCATCCCCTCACACCCCAAATCTGCTCTCAAGAGTCCCACAACTCCTGCCCTGTCAGATTTGGGTGGCACACAGCTAGTGACATGGGGGACGAAAGGAAGGAGAGGTCCTGCTGACAAACATCTGCAAATGCTGCATTAGAACTTACCAAATTATTTTCTTCTATCCCCACATCCTATGACATCCCAAAGTATTGCCTCACTCTTCAACTATTAAAAGCCCACTAGACCTTCCCAGAATCTGTCCCTTTGTCTCCTAGTGATGTCTGATAGGTCTTAGCTATGCCTACCTGAGTGCCTGTTAGTGATATATATGAAGCAAATTCTTTTTAATATTATGCATTTGCTTCCTTTGCAGAATGCATTTAGTACTGGGGTGTTAATAAAATAACACATTCTATTTTAAAATCCACCTTGGACACACCGTACAGGTTGCTTTCAGATAGGAATATTGATGTAAGAACATCTATCTACTCCAGGAGGTCAGGGATAAAGGTATGAAAAATATTGCTGGGAATGATCCCCATGAACATTTTAATGCATTTGAATGGCACACTACAAGAAACAACACAGAGCGTAATGGGGATGTACAAGTGCATTACGTCCAGGCTTTATTATCATGGCCTTGAAGTAATGTTCAATTAGAGGAATAACACGCTTCATTTTCAACTTTCAGTCCAGCCAGCTGACACAATAGACATATTAGATCAGTGAATCATTATACGGAAAAGGAGTCCAAATTTCTTGAACATGGTTACTGACTGGGGTCGTCAGTTTTGAATTAACCATTTCACTGCTAAGGCTGCTACACAATAGGTCACCTTCAGACCTAGGAGCTTCCAAATTTGAAGTATGTTTCTACCCTGCTTACAGGCTTGATGGGGTTCATCTTTCTGTGATCAGGAATGATTTGTGGCTGACCTCAGTGTCAGTGGGGTTAAGGGATTGGTTACAGGTGTGAGTGGTTGGTGGCGAGAGCAGGTGCTCATGTGGCGGATAGGCACTGGTTCAGGTGATAGGGATGGGAGAATGGTTTCGCCATCCCTATGTGAAGGGTATTCCGTTAAAGGAATCCAGGGACTCAACTGGTTTGGTCAACCCCCGAGAGGGGGTTGTGCCTGTGTCTGAGTCCAGAGGGGTATCTGGGTGGTGCACATAGTCTGTTCCCAGCTTTTCACCTATCCAGGTGTTCACTCTTGGTTAACCTACACTGGTGCCCTGGGTCAGCGCTGCCTGCAAGGGTGCAGGGTGCTAGTCGAACCAGAGCCTATGCAGCCACTTACCTTCTGTAATCAACTAAAGTTGTGGCCTACATTCTGCCAAAAACCAAACAAAAATTTGAGTCAAGTGTGCCTTTATTTAGGGGGAAGGTCTCTGGGTCTGAACACGCAAATGAGTTGCTGTGATCCTTAGGCCTGATACTCCTGTGCAGATCCTGGTTTTGCTTATAAAGAGTTAACTCCAACTTTCTCAGTATGATTTACTGCTGGCTCACTCCTGTCAGTAAATCACTTCATTTCAGACTTCTGCACCAAGTTCTGTTGGTATCACCATGAGTTAACATGTAATGGTGTTAACTTCTTGGCTTAGTCTTGGCCACATATAAAACCTCGGCTTGTTTTCCATGAGTAATATACTTTTAATTTTTTTATCCTTTCAATAAGCAGTCTTACCAGACTCTTTCTTTCTGTAGACTGCTGCTGTATAAGGAATTCAGGAGGTATAAGGAATTCAGCCATCTATTTATTCTAGACTAACTCAGATGTCATGCTATAGCTCCCAGTGAATTAAAAATGGCTCGATTTTGCCCTGAATACATAATTTATAATTGGGATGTTGTCAGACTTTTCAACAGTGCCTTGCACCCACAAACACTGGGGTAACATATTGTGTAGTACTAGCCTTAGATCTACCTAATTGTGCTTTTATGGTTGCTTATGGATTCCCTCGGCCTTCTGAATATTTTACAATGTATGCCAAGTTTTGCAGCCTTTTAATCAAATAGACTGCCGGAGAGGAAGAATTGCTAAGTGAAGGATTTGATTGGAAAAGATGTCTCTATCCGATGGAAGTGGAAATGTGCAGCACTACATCAAAGCCCAGAGCCCACACTTCCAGAAGGAACTATTAGGAAGAATAAAAAGTGGCCGGGCTTTGTTTTGCCCTCCAGCTTTGTAGCTCATTTTAAATTTGGGTGGTTGCCTGTTTAAACCAAATTAGTTTGCCAAGTGCCATTAATTGTTGCATCCTGTCTCAAAAAAACCAGCACTTTCATGGTAACGCTGACACTCTGAGCAGGGCTTCAAAACACACACACACACACACACACACCTAAGTCTTACCTAGATGGCATGGATGTATTATTTTCTAAATATTATCTTTGGGGAAATGGCTGCTAAAGGCTCTGCAGTCAACATTCAGTTATGATTAGGGTTTAATTAACTTATATACTACTTTAAACTGGCGTATCTAAGCAGTGTACAATAAAACCTGGATGAGTTTTGTTGGTTCTGAATTCCTTCCAAATTCATGGTCCAGAATGATTTTTTACCCTTGGACTATCAACCTTGAAGTGTGTTTTGTATTCCAGTGTAAGCTCTGTTTATTGGCTTGAGTGGTGCTTTTTCTTTTTTGAAAATCATTTTTATTTGATTTTACAAGTATAGGATTATAACCACACAAAAGACATTTCCACATTTAAAGATTTCTCTCAATCTCTGGACTTCCCCCCTTCCCCTCCATGGGTCCTATCCTATTGTCAACCTTTTCAACTGCATACTATTCAGTAATCCATATTTTATGTTTCTTCATTTTGTCCACAATATTTGCTACATTACAAGTGTTATTTCAATTCTGCTAATGTTTTCATCTGCTTACAGTGGTCTCCCAGATAAATTATAAATTTTCCCCATTTTTTATTAAAGTTCTGGTCTTCTTGGTTCCTGAGCTTCCCGGTCAGTTTTGCCATCTCAGCATACTCCAACAGGTTAGTTTGCCATTCCTCTCTGGTAGGGACATTGTCCAAGTAGTGCTGTTACCATCTTTAGCTGGTGCACCATTTGAGGCCTGACCTGGAGAAAGCTGACATTGCCTCCATAACACATGCACAAGCCTGAGGCTCTGAGCCTTGCTTCCTTACCCACTAGTAGTGGTAAGATTAGCCAGCACCAGGGACAGAGCCTTTTCTGTGACTGGTTCCAAACCTCCCCCAAGAAGCACATTTGACCAGACCCACCAAGAGGAAGGTAAAAGGGTTGCTGCTGTAGCAGGCCCAGAACCAGCTAGGGGCCCAGAAACACAAAGATACCAATGCAAAGAATTAGAGCTACAAAGCAAAATGTGCAGGCAACATTCGAGCCATTTGCTTTGTGAGAAATGAGTCCTGTCTCTCCACTCAGTGCTATTAGCCAATGAGTGAAGTTGCAGCTGTGATTCATGTGTGATTCACATACATCAGGGGTGGCTGAGGTCCTCCAGCCATCTCTGTCTAGCCCTCAGGACTCTCCCCAGGTAATAGTCCCTGGCAGGCCTCACACACATACATCCAACTACCAAGTGTTTAGTGTCCTTAAACTCTGATGATTCCTCTTGGTTGCCTGGGTGGAAGATAGAGAGAAGAGTGTGTGTGAGTTTCTAGAAATTGGTTAACTGTGCAAATGTAAAAATTACATTCATTGCTCTGCCCACTGGCCTATCACCTCCCCCAAAAGTTAGCCAGAAGGGAAAGTGGTCCTTAGGCTATTGAATGGAAGTCTATTAAATAATGCTAGAGCTTTGCAGACAGGGACATTTTTGGGACCCACAGTGCTGCACAGGCTGCTCTGTATGGGTCCCATGGATGGTCTGCCTTTGAACAGCAGCTTGGGCTCTGTGGCCTCTTGATTTTAAAAGTCAGTAACTCCCCTGGAAAGCAATCACTGCCAAGCCTTCCAACATTTTCGAAAGTTCTAGTTAAAATTGGTGTAATCAAATGCTTTATGGGAAACCTGTCATTACATTTCGATACGTTTCTTAATAGCTTTCTTAGGCAGGTATGAATTAACTTGATTTATCCTGTGTTAAAAGAAAAATCTCATTTATCAAATGGATATGGAGCAGAGAATCATCTTTTTTTCTGACAAAAATCACACTGCAGCAATAGATGGTACAGACTTTTGAACTTTAGGTCTCCATCTGGAATAGAGAAAGTCACATAAGATTTTGTTAAGTGATTTTTTCATCTTGCACTGAAGATTTTTATGCGTTCCTTCTGTATTAAAAAGAAAAGTTCTTTGTGCTTTCATCATCGGTTTCATAGATGTCTTTCATTCCATCTGGCATTATCAAGTAGGATGAAGGAATTTCATCCTCATCAAAACTCAGGTATGTTGTATATTTCCCTCTTTCCAGCATATGCAGTGCTAGCCTATGCAAGTCTACCTAAAAAGAAGTCCTGCTGAATTCAGTGTAACTTACTCCCAAGTAAGGATATGTAAGATTGCAGCCTTAAGAAACTGTCTAAAATGGTATTGCATCCATCCATAACTGCAGTTTATAGATTCTGACATTTGAAATATAGCTGATTTTATGCTGCAATTTCATATCAGAGCCATCATTTGGTTAGATGCCTTGGAAGGGTTACTACACAGCTCTTTATTTTAAGGATTATCCCTTATTTCAGAACATGATCTCTCCATGGAAAGCAAATAGATGTGCCTAATTTTGCAACACTCCAGCTACATTACATTTCATAAAGCAAACACACTAGCTCAATTGTAGCTCTTACTGCTGGAATTTTAATGAAGCAACCTTAGGCCCATGAAATGTTTTCAAATGTCTTTCGGAACACATTATTCCTGCTGAGAAATTTGTCATAAGGCTGTGGGAAGACTTGCAAAAGGCTGTTCTAACTGCTGCTTTCACATATCCTTTCCTTAAAATAAAATGTGTTTGTACATTCCACAGCTAAATTGATTTGACCTTTGTAGTCAAAAACAATACAAATTGGCTGTTTTTTCCCCAATAGATGATCATTCAGATGGTGGAAACAGACCTTTGGCTAATCCCCAAGATTGTCTAAATGGGATGCTGAATAGTTAGCAGCGTCCTACATGGTACATGGGTGTGGAGCATGGCATTAGTGAGTTGCCATCCAGCAGTTGCCTTCCCACTGCTGCACACCTCCAAAATACTGAGATAATAGCCATTATGCCTCCTCTTGTCACCACAGTTTCTAATAAAGGCACCAGGCCCCCCTCTCAAATGCAACAGCACTCCATAGTCTTCTGACAAACCAACTTATGATCCGTGACTGGTTCCATCTGCAGGGGTGAGGAACATTTTTCAATCCAGGTGCTGCATTCTCTTCTGGACTAACTTCCACGCCTGAAGTGGAGTGAGAGGTGGATAGAAGCAAAAGCAGGAGGATCAATAAATGTAAATGTATGGTAGGCTAGTTTCCACACACTCTTCTATAGCCCGCCCACCCCCCTCCATGCAGAAAAGTAATAGGGATTGCCAGAGTTCAAAGACACATTCCAGCCAGGCATAAACATTCAGGGTGCAAAGCAAGCCCAGGGAGGGGTGTGGTCTAGGGAGAGGGGGCGTGGCCTGGGGAGACTTCCAAGAGCTGGATCCAAAGACCTGAAGGGTTGCATTTGGCCCAGGTCTGAGATTCCCCATTCCTGATTTACTAGATTATTGAAGATTATCTGCTTTGCATGTGTAGAGAAACTAGTGTATAGTGAGAGGGTGTGGAAATCTAATCCAAGATTGTTGATCAACTACCTTTGGTGCTTTTCATACTAATGGTACAGATACACTGCTTTTCACAGTCCTTTGGCCTTGCTATTTACACATCAGTTTCACAGACAACCCCCCCCACCCACCCCACCCCCGCATGCATCAATCACTGGGTGGGAATCCATGCAATTACAAGGAATGCGGAAGCCTATAATTGAGAAGCTACTCCCATGTTTCAGCCTGGATAGCTCAGTTGGTTGAAGCATGGTACTGAGAATGCCACGGTTGAAAGTTCAATCCCTGTATGAGACAGCGGCATACTCCTGTATTGTAGGGGGTTGGACTAGATGATCCTCAGGGTCCCTTCCAACTCTACAATTGTATGATACTCTATAGGGTTCCCATTTCAAACATCCAAGTCAATACAGAGATATCCAATCAGTGGAGTCAGTAGTAGTCCCCCCCTCCGCATGATTAAGCTGTAAAATCTGTAGCAATGGATATATAAGCTGCCAACTGAAAGCAACTCTTTATCCATATGACAGTGTGGTCAACAATAAATGTAAGTCTTTAAGGTGACATCAGCTATTTATAGCGGCATGAAAATGTCTGGGAGGGCAGCACTGGATCCTGCTATGGGTGTGGAGGGGAGATCTACAGATCATCTTCATTCCCCGTCAGAAATTTTATAATGAATGTGTGCTGAGGATATGCTAGGCTCCTTCTCCCATTGTGCCCCCTTTCCATTTCAAAATCCTGCCCTTTTTAAAAAGATAGAAAAGTAGCACTAAAAGGATCTACACTTGCAAAGACTTTATATCTCTTCAGCACCGTGGTCAGAGAAAGAACGAAGAAGCACAGAGGGAAATAGAGATGGACAATGATTGGATGGTCATCATGTAGATGCCCCTTTAAAAGTAGGTGAATGAAGCATGGAAATCCCACACCGTATGCCTAGTGTGGAAGCACCCTGTCTCTTTTCTAGGGAGACATCAATATGATACAAGGAAATCCCCGTAGATTGGCTGGCCAAATCCTCATATCATACCAAAGCTGATGACCGTTTAAAAACCTATTAAATGGCCACTGTGTTCCTTGATGCAACAGGATTGGGCAATGCAGTTCTGCACAGGGAATGTAATTTCATTATTAGTGGTTTCTATTCTATTCCAAATGCATACAAGGGATAGGAGCTGCCTCTTCTATGTTATCAGAGGTATGAGAGAAATGAAATAAACTGAAGGGAGGGGAGGGGAGGGGAGAGGAAAGGAAACGAAAGGAAGAGGGGAGGGGAGGGGAGGGGAGGGGAGGGAAGGGAAGGGAAGGGAAGGGAGTCATTCCACCTCAGCTTTCCACAGTTTTCTATTAATACAAGGTGGGGGCATAGCCCCACGCCAATGAAAAATCTCTAGGCAATTTAAAAAAGTGTAATGTCTCTCATTTTGCCCAAGAAAAGTTCTTTTATTAGTTTGGCTATTGAACGATTTTAGAGGTGAAAGGTATGGGACAGAAATGAATTGATGTAATTTTTTCCCGAAGGAAAAGACTAGCTTAATAACACGCAGCTGTAATGTATGAGCAGACACAAGTAGCGGCTTCAGAATGATGGCTTCGTGTCAGCTTCCGACAAGATGAATATGTGGTAGGAAGATTATATATTACATTGTGCAGTGGCTTCTGCTAACTGGTTCTTATGAAACACTGTCAGCTTCATTCCCATCTTTCCCTCTCTCACACAACTCAACCTCTTCAGTGTGTCACTGTGGAATGAAAGCACCCTTTCCCGCTTATTTGTTTTAAATGGTGACACAGTGAAGAACCTAAAACCTGCCCCACTTTGTTGGATAAAAGTTAAAGGTACTGAAGACGAAATCCCAAAACTAGGACAATACATTGGTGTTAAAATGGTTGGTTGGTTAGTCAAACAATCAATAATGATCAAATTGACGTAAGGCACGTCTAAGTTTTCTTGGTTTCAATAAGAAGCAGCTAAGCACATACTGATTGGGTTGGACAGTTTCACCTACATGGTTTCACCATTCTCACAACTGCAGGGGATGGTCCTGTTTCAGGACCAGCTCTCACAATTTAGCATGAGTGTGGGTAAGAGATGGAATCAGGTGAGGCAGCCAAAGAGCTGGACCATGGCCTTGAGGGCAGAAGATGAAATCCAGACAAGATGAAGTCATTAATTCGGCTGCCAGAATGATGGAGCCAGATTCACCTTGAAGAGAAGGGCATTTCACAACCACCACAAAAAGGCCATCTCATGCAGTAGCGCCCCTAGAACAGTTGGGAAAATCCATGACTGTTTAAAGCAGTATAAGTGCTTTAAATGTACAGTGCAGATGGGGCCTAGGCCTGAACTGGCTTTGCCCACCCAGGCTAGCCATTGGATCCTTCTGGGCAGGGAGGTCTTCTTGTTGCAGCTCAGCCTTGCGTGAGCACCATGCCTTGTGTTTCTGGTCTTGTTCTCTGGCTCTAACTGTGATCTTTAGAGAAGTGGCAGGTTAGAAATAAACTAATAAATAATAACAACAACTTCCGGTTTGTCCTTTGGTCCTTCTGGCTTATTCTCAAACCCCATCTTCTGCTTTCTCTTGGACAACAGTTGCCCTTTGATCCTGTTTCATGACTCTCTCCAGAATGTACCCACAACCTAGCCCTGACAATTCTGGCTTGTATATTATTTTTATGCTACCTTGATACATTTGTGGGCTTTAGTTTATATTTATATGCTACTCATTTCATTGTGGTTTATTGCAAAACCACCCTGACTGAAGGGAAGGGCATACATTTAAATAAACAAACTTGAGAGAGAGAGAGAGATGTCATTATACAATGTACCATCTCAGGCATTAATTTCAAGGGGCATGGAGGTTTCCTCATTCATAAAGGCAGAATTAGGACCCCCCCACACAGGAAATGGGTAAAATAGTTGTACTGACAAAGGGCTTCATGCAAAGTGGACTATCTGAATTCTGATCATCTGTAATGCCCTTACTGACTACCTAACAAATCACCATGTAAAAATCAAACATGACACCATACCTGTAGGACCTGACTCTGACAGATGGAGCTGTGTTTAAAGAGCTTCTTGTTGCCAGTTCCAATCAGGAAGAATACACAAAAGCTAAGATCCAATGGGAGAAACAAAATGTTCAGCCCTTGGAAACAGACCAGAAAAGGGGCAACAGCAAAGAGCGGGGTGAACCACCTTAACTGCAATGTCAATAGCAAAGAAAACTGTTGCAAAACTACTAATAACTCTGTTGTGCTCTTGCATCACTTCAGCAGTTTGTGTGGAGCAACCTTGAAATGTCCAGTGCTCAGTGTGGCAGGAATGCAGCCTTTTGTCATGATTGCACGTAACTGCATGCAAATCATAACACTCTCAAGCTCCTTACCTTCAAAAACTTCCTTTTTTATTTCATTTCAAATGTAATTTTAAAAAAAAAACAACCTTCAGAATGAGTTGCTATAGTGTCTAGGACAATGAACTTACATCATGTCTTAGCTAATGGGACTTTGAACCTCACTGAATCTCTTGGCGTACCATAATACAAATCATTAAACTTTTGGTTTCAACTCAATCATTAAATTGCAACAAAACCTTTAAGCAGCAGAATTAATTGTTTTTCATTATTATTTCATACTGCAAATTGCCTTCTACTGGGGTCCTTTTATTGCTGTGCAAACAACTTTAAAACTGGCAAAAGATATTACAGCATAAATATTAATACAAAAGAATTAATGTTAAGATGCTGTAGGGAGTAATCTACCGTTGTTGGAGGGATGCAAAAAGTCACGCCAGCAGGTCTCTGTTTTCTTTTCAGTTCTCTGGTTTAAACTAGGTACCCAACTGAGAACAGTTTCTGACCAAAGGATGGTTGTTGTTGTTCTTGTTTTTGGCTATTTATTCATGATGTAAAGCAAACAACTGTTAACAATTGCAACCCCGGAGGTTGGCTCTCCACATCACAGTCACTTGTCACAACTTGAATATAATTATTGACTTCCTTAATCTGTGCCAGTCTGTAGACCACTGTGAATGCAGAAAAGAAGCTAGCTTGAGAGATTCTCTTTAGAAAGCATTCTCTCTCAAAGCAACCAGGTCGTATTATTGTCATATAAAGCTCGAAACAGTTTGGGACAAGGCTATCTACTGGACCACTCATATAGTGGTCCAGTATAGGACCCCTATATAGGCTCAGTTGACCCCTGTAATCATTGGAAGAGGCCCTGCTGGGAAGTGGATTGCCATCTTGTGATATCACAGAATTGAGGTTTCATTATAGTGCCAAACCTTATTAGTTTACTCAGACTTCCCCTGATTATTAAAGTATCTTTCAGATTCACAACATATGCTGCTCAGTGTTGTGATTCAGTATTTTATTGTATTTTGCCACTGTGTGTCTTAGATTTTAGCTCTGTGGTTTTTATGCTTGTATCCCCCTCCCCCTCCCCCTTTTTTTTTTTTAAGCCTGCAAATAATTCTTTGTCTGAATGGTGGACTATCAAAAGCTGATGGGAGATTGTTTACCTTGGCTCAGACTTGCATCTCTTTCCAGTTTATGAAGACCTGATCTTTTTCTGCTTTTCTTTTAAGATATGCATACCACGAAGAGTCATTTGCATGTAGTGCATAGATAATGATGCCACTGAGGAACAGTAAGATCTAAAGCAGTCCTTTATAATTCTATAATTCCCAAATCACATGCCCTGGGGGGGAAAGAGTCCTACAAAAGTCAGTTGTATTTCTCCTGAGGAAGGTTTTTGATTATTTAAGTGGAAGGGAAGGGAAAGGCAATTCTGTGAGCACAAGGACAGACTGAGGGTGTGATTGACCACCGAGCTATGAACTTGTCACCAGATAAGCCATCCTGACAAGTAATTCACTCACTTGATAAGAAAGGTCTCTCCAAGAGAGAACTCCATCTGTGACAACCATTTCATGCAATCTTCCATGTGTTAGTTTCAGGGTTTGTGTGACAAACACGACTACTACCTGTCTCAGCTCTGAGAGGAGCAGACACACTCCTTTTCCTCACATCGCCCCCAAAACACACAGAGCTTGCTCTAATTCCTTGGAGCCAGAATGTCACATCTGGGAAGGGATGAGGGGCTAGGGATTCAAAACCTGATATAGAAATTAGAGTTTTGCTGTTGAAATAATGGTGAAAACAAATCAGACAAAACTTAACATACAGAAGACTGTTTGACACATGAGTCACTTACATTTTTTTAATTTAAACCTAATTACACGCTAACAGTGGCTAGAGAAACATGGGGCACAGTATTCATGTTTGTTGCATTCCAAGTATTTTATATTACTCTGATCCATTCTATATCCCTAAGGCTCCATTCCAGTTCTGAACTGCAAGATTGAAGGAGCAGATACAAGCTTGGCTCTATTGTCTAGTTTCCCCTAAAGGCATACAATTTGTTCATCTCCAACTCCGTTGTTACCAGAATCACAAATATTCCAATGTATTTCTCAGTAGATCAAAACCTTTTATAGCATTTTTTTTAAAGAAAAGAAACAGATATAATAAAAAAGAAAATAAATGGCTAGTAGGGAAAAATAAAAACAACAGTAAAGAATTGTGAAACAATGTGAAACAATGCTAAATTTATTCCTTTGTGATGGGATAATTGCAGCACTTAAAGTGTCATTCGTTTTATAATTAGTTGTGCTCATAAACAGAGTAACGCTCACTTTTGTTCAGAAACCTGAAATACTTAATAGTAAAAAAAAAACACAAAACAGTTTTGAGAGAGAGGGGGAGGGAGAGAGAAAGTACTCCATACAGGTAAAATAAGAAATGAAATTCATCTGGTACAGATTTGTAGTAACTGATGAACACAGTATAAGTTAATTTATTTCTGTAGAGTTGCCACCAGGTCCTCACTGAGAGATGACACTTATACCTGAAAATGCTCTGGTGTCGCAAGAGATAATGAAACTGTTGAAGTTCCCAGTGCATTTTCCCATTGCTCTCATCACACACATTTCCTCCCCTACGGAACTTGGCCATTCATTCTGTAGAGGCATGGCATTGGAGGGCAGTGTCTACAGTTTGATGCCTTCTAGATTTTAAAGCCCCAGGCACGATCTCTGGGAAAGTATCTGACAATCTGATAGGTAGGGTGTCCCTATGTGCATTGCCAAAAAAGTGGAAATGAGTATAAAACAGGCCACAGATTTGCAAATTTAGAATTAAGTACTATAATTTAAATAAAAGTGCAATGCATCTCACCACAGTGGGGAAAACTGTAACCAAGTGACCTGCAAACCAGCTTGGCTTGCTGTCTAGGTGCTTACAAATCCACGATTCTATGACTCTGTCTCTTGCCTTGCTCATGCACTTTTGAATCCTGTGCTTGCTGCTAAGCCTGTATTCATTAGCCTGAATAAAGTTCTTTTCCCTACTGTCAAGGAAGAGCTGCTGTCATTGTGTTTTGAGCTAGGAGTTGTCAGTCAGTGTAGATAATGCTGAGCTAGATGAAACATCAACGCACTCTAAGCCGCCAGCAGCATTCATCATCCGTCCACCAGGAGAGATCCTTGATGATGCGACACTATAACAACAACAACAACAACAACAACAACAACAACAAAACAATTTATTATTTATACCCCATGCATCTGGCTGGGTTTCCTCAGCCACTCTGGGTGGCTTACACAAGACCTACACAAGATGATCTGTAGGTCATGACCACATGAGTAAGGTGTCTGTGCATTTGCATGGCCAAATAAGGAAATGCATAAGAGGAGCTGCAAAACAGAGAGAACTAATTCAACACAAGTATTCCTCCGTGATTAAATGCTTGCAGGGGAATATTCATGGGGAAATAACCTGATTACAAATCTATATGCTTGAATGAAATGCAATATTTATTCCTTTTTCCTTATTGCATGAATGTGACTTCTACAGAAATCCAGTAAATTAACTTCCATGGTATGCAATCTTAGAGTGTCTCATATTCTGTTTTCTATATGCATATTCAAGATGGCAGTTCATCAGCGAAGCTTTCCTTTGCTGACAATTCCCACCCATCTTGCTTCCAGAAAGTCACACATGAAAGGATAAATATGGGTGCCTGTAATGAAGCCTAAGCATATTCAACTGAAACAACCACATATATTGCTTCCCTGGTTACCCGAGCCTTCATTTCCCTCCCTTTGCCGTTTTCCCAATATTGAATTTTAGTTTGTTACTCTCTGAGGCAGGGACCTATCCTCTTGGACCTTGGGAAATGTCAAGCACACTGATGGAATTGTATAAATAATAAATATTTTTTTAAAATAAAAATGATCATATGGCTCACTGACACCATCAGCTTGCAGAGAACACAGTCTTGGCACTCATTAAATTGTTTTACAAAAGCAAAGCAACAAGCCATCAAACCAATTTAAACTGCCCTGTCATTCTTCTAGAATTACTACACAGCCTATGGGAAACTTTTCATGATTCTACAATACAAAGGGTATAAGCCTCTCCATTTCCCATTCCAATTAAATAGAAAAGCAGTAGGAATTCTACAATTCTGCCACAGGATAGTCAGCAACTCACATGGTCAGCACAGTATGTAATTAGTAAAGAGCATTACCTCGGGGTATGTTTTTCAGTGGGCTACAAAAGGGAATTGGTTATTCACAGCTTCCAGTGTACTACCAGGCCTAATTATGAGGTTGGATGGGGAGAAGAGGCCTCTCCAATTACAGTTGGATGGTAAATCATGAGAACAAGACTGTAGACCTGCATTGTCCATCCTTTACTTTTTATTCATTAGAAAATTCGCATTATCTTAAGAATTCTGAAAGTAGGAAGTGAATTGGCGAGAGAGAAAGCGAGACCTTGAGTATGGCATGGTGCTCCAGCTGTAGACACAAAGCAGAAAGCAAATATTTTTCTTAGGTATCATTGCGTACCAGCACAATCTCTGAGCAGTACGAGATTCAGGGGGTTCCAGGTACTTATCCAGGGTTCGTGTTCCCTTTGGAATGATGGACAGTGTGGAAACTGTGGTGTCTTTATGATATATGGTCTATTTACACATATATACAGTCTGAGTCCGCTCGGCATAGTTCATAGCTTCTCTGAGTTATTCAAGCCCCTTTGCTACGGCAAGGCAGCACCTTGCCAACAAAGGTCCGTATAGTTAAAGCTATGGTTTTCCCAGTAGTGATGTATGGAAGTGAGAGCTGGACCATAAAGAAGGCTGATCGCCAAAGAATTGATGCTTTTGAATTATGGTGCTAGAGGAGACTTTTGAGAGTCCCATGGACTGCAAGAAGATCAAACCTATTCATGCTGAAGGAAATCAGCCCTGAGTGCTCACTGGAAGGACAGATCGTGAAGCTGAGGCTCCAATACTTTGGCCACCTCATGAGAAGAGAAGACTCCCTGGAAAAGACCCTGATGTTGGGAAAGATGGAGGGCACAAGGAGAAGGGGACGATGGAGGACAAGATGGTTGGACAGTGTTCTCGAAGCTTCCAGCATGAGTTTGAACAAACTGCGGGAGGCAGACAGGAGTGCCTGGCGTGCTCTGGTCCATGGGGTCACGAAGAGTCGGACACGACTAAACGACTAAACAACAACAACAACAGTCTGAGTCTATGATGGAGGGGTTCATAGCATTAGCACCTCAAGATAGTCTTGCTTCTCCCATAGCCACAGCCTTGGATTCCGGCATGCAACTGCTTGCTGCTCTTTGTTTTCACTCATCCATATGCTGCTGCCAGTGCTAATTTCATCCAATTCTGTGAAAGGGGACGAGGAATTATAGGCATAATGGTGAATGGAGGAGGCACAATGCCTTATTTTTCTGAAGCAAAATTGGCTTTGGACCCAAAAGCTGAATCTTGTGGTCAATGCACATCCCTAAAAAGAATAGGCTGTGTTGCACTGATTTATAGTGAAGATTCTTGTAGCATCTCAGACTGACATATTTATTACAGCAAATATAGTGAACTATAGTCCACTTCATCAGATACTTGAAGTGTTACCTGGAGCCGCAGGTAACGTAAGAGTTTTATTTTTTTGTTGAAACAGATTGTGATAGAAACACGTTGGGCTGGATAAATACTGTAAATATTTAGTGCATTTTAGTTTCTCTCTCATTATTTCTTTATCAATTCATTTCTTTGTTGGTGAGTGTGGACAAGAAAGACACAAACACAGCAAAGCAGCACCTTCATAGTTTGTCTTAAGATGCCTCTTTTTTCTTTGCTGTTTTTGAAACGCATTATGCCAAATCCTTTAAAAAAAAAGTGATACAGTTGGTCCCTGGCTGCTTCTTTAGTGCCTAGGATAAATGTTCCATCTATTTGCATGGATCTTCTATTTCAAATATAACAATACATTATAAAGACATCTTTCTTGCCTCTTAAATTACATGAGCTCTGGGTGACACTAAAATTGAGTTCCTCCTAAACTCCCCTTCCTCTCCTTCTCACTCCTGAAGAATCAAGCTTATTGTAGGAGGTGCAGCAGAAAGCTTGGCAAATCCCAATTAGGACTATCATACAGGAGACCTGGTACACATTTTATAAGTCTGTGTTTGATTTATTCCAATAACCAGTGGAATGGTGCTGTGAAATTCTAATAAGAAGCTATTCCTTTGTTGCTTGAAGAATGGGAGATTGGCCGAGTGGAGAAGTCTAACAAAAAAAGGTTTCTGCTAATATGCTTTTGCTTGTTTCCTTGAGTTCGAAAACTCTTCTCACAAAAGTGCACTACAATCCTACATACTCTACTCTAGTGGAGGAAAAGCTCCTGAAATTCAGTTCCATGCTTCTGTTAAAGAGCTAGCACTCCGGGCTTCCTAACCCATTTTATCAAAGTTAAGATGTTCCGTTATCAACTTTGTTCTTATTACTTTTGAGAAGATGTGCCATATCTCTAGTAGTTACAAAGAGATGGAAATTCTGTTATATAGCTCAATCATTTGGAAGGCTTCTGAAGTTGTTCATTCCCAGTGTGGATCTCAACCCTGCATCTTACGTAAATAATACTACAACCTGCATAGTTTGTCTTCAAAATATGTCTCCCTGCTGGCTTCAATAAATGATGATACACTTTAATAATGAATATTGCTGTTTAGAAAGAAAGTTTTTAAACTAAGAAAAGCCAAATGTACCACCTCTTTGGTAGATTTTTGCCAAAGAGAAAGAAAAAAATACATGTTATGTACGTGAGAGTGCTCCTGTGTGTAAATTTGCAAGCCCTGAGCACAAGGGTCTATCAAATGTACTAGGTGCTTGAGACTGAACTCTTCTTAACTGTGCTGTTTTTAGAACCTGAGCAGTGAAGTATTGGATTTGAGCAAAGGAGATCAGTGTCTGAAGCCCAACCAAGTGTTCATTAAGTGGGCTAAGTCTCAAATTCTCCGTCCCATTTTAGAAGGGTTTAAAAGTGAAATATGACAAGTATAATCGTCCCAATTATAATGCCTTCGTTCACTTATAAGTAGCATAACATACCTAATAATATTATTAGAATGATGAAGCAAAATACAGTGGTACCTTGGTTCTCAAATGGCTTAGTTGTCAAACTAATCGGCTCCTGAACGGCGCAACCCGGAATTAAGTGTTCTGGTTTGTGAACATTTTTCGGAAGCTGAATGTCCAACATAGCTTCCACTTGAGTGCAGGAAGCTCCTGTAACCAATCAGAAGCCGTGTCTTGGTTTTTGAACGGTTTCGGGATTCAAACGGACTCCCGGAACAGATTAAGTTTAAGAACTAAGGTACCACTGTATATAAAATGGGAACATCTGGTTGCTGTTGTTTTGTGTGTTGTTTTTTAAAAAAAACTATTAAAAACCATAACTCAAGATTTGGATTTTGAATTCAATCAGGGGCCTCGGAACTCAGAATCAAAATTTGATCTCAGCATTCCATATGTAACTGTTCAATTTGGGTTTCATGTCAAATGGATACAAAAAGACGTTTTTACTCCACACAATGACATATTAGATGCCAGATACTGACACTACAGCATGTCACCTATTAGTACCAAATGCTATCACTTCAGTTGTCAAATAGTGAAACCTACTGCATATCACCTAGCAAATGCTGTCAGGTACTTAATACTATACACAACCATGTCAGTTATCAAATGATGTCAAGTAATGTAACATAAACATAAAATATGGAACTGATATTTTAAAAACCCCACATTTTATAGAATGCTCTACTAGTGCTGTGTAACTCCAGAAAAACCATACAGGGGTATACCCAGATGGGTGAGGTGGTGATTTTCACCAGTTTCTACTTTGCCCTGGGATTTGCTTCTGGGAGATTCTCCAAAAATGCATGGGAGGGAGCCCTGGCAGTTGCAGAGAAAAGTGGAAATGGACTAAAACTGCTGTCCTGTCACCTACCTCCAGCAGGGAGCTTCTATTAGTTCTCAATTCCCCCTGCAAACAGAAGGATCCAACCTGAGAATATATCCACTTTTTAAAAGACTACTTTCAGTTTAACAAGCTAAGTAGTTTCCATGTCTACTCAAGATACAAAAAGTCAAAAACTACCGCTGTTAACATATGAGATATTTAGGCAATGGTGCTTCGTTCCAGCTTCACCACTGCCTTGGAGCAATGGGGAAATGATGGGCCAAAAGTCCAAGGTTCACTGGAATTGTGATGTTTAAGAGCTTAAACACCTTGAGGTCTTCAAGGAGAGGCAGCCCAAATCCAACTAAATTCCCCTAAGGTTTGCAGACTTCTCTTAAAGGTGCTTTCAGATTTTTCCACATATTCTGAACAGCGGTCATTTCTTTTAGACCACGCTTTCCTTCAACTCTCCAGCCATACTCTTTACAAGATTTCCCTTTGGCAAATAGCACGGTATGTATGGTGAAATTTTTCTAACTTTTCAAAGAATGGTACAGACAACCAATTTCACCCGGAGTAGTTAGGCCATGTATGTGAGCTCAAAGCTAGCCCCTTTCCATTCAGCCTACATTTAGCTGAACTAATCCATTTCATTGTCAGGTTTACAAGCGAGAAGACACTTCCATGGCTGGAAGGTTCTCATATAGAAGCCCACCACAGTCCCAAGTGATAACACATGTTCATCCCTGTCCTTAGGGAAGCACATTTATTATGTGATGCAGCTTGAAGCAGCCAGAAAATAAATGTAAATAAATACTTATGGCTTTGAAGTTCTGCTAATGATTAAGTAGTTTATCATGCACTGATGAGTTCTCTTCCAGCCAGCTTTCCTCCAGCCAAATTGCACTGCTTCCTGTTCCCCTCTGCACCCTTGTGTTAATTACTTTGATTAACTACAGGAGAGACTTTATTAAATTTACTGATTCCACTGTCTATAAACCAATACCCTGTAATCCCTCTGCATCAATAACCAGCAGGAGACCTGGTAGCTACAAACTTTCTGAAAGAATCACACTTCTTATTTTTTGCTTGTGATGGATGAAATTTCTATCTATATAAGCCCAAAGCACATCTGAGTTCTGCTCGAAGGAGTTAAGTAAACTACACAAACCTTTGAAACTCAGAGGATTCCAATAAGACAACCAAGATGATAAGTCTCGCTTTGAACATCACTGTGATTGAGTGTAGGGGTCAAATACATTGCAAACTGATCCCTTAGATCAGTGGTTTTTCAAATCTACTCCCAGGAAATGCTTTCTGCAGTAATTTGTCTATGGAGGCACCCTGCCAAGTCTTTAACCCAACTCAATATTGCAAAATAAAAAGGAAACATTTAGCTATAGGAGTCCTGTGCCCTGCATATTCCCATATCTCCAGTGGACCCATGAAACACTCACTCCTCCCACATCCCCTGCCAGGAGTTGGTCCCTCTCTCATGCCAGGGTTCCTTGTGGGAATTCCAGAAATCCTTAATTATTGCTGTTTTTTAGATCGCGGATGGCGCACTGTGTGGGGAGGGGGCCAGAGTCAGGACAGTGCCCCTGCGTAATTGATTGGTTTTGAAAGAACATATACTAAGTTCCAAGAGGCCTTCATGGAACTTTAGACCTTTAAACCACAGACCTGCATGGAGCGACGATGCCGCACCCTCAGTGCACTCGCCGAAACCCAGCGCCCCGGAAAATGCCATTGAATAAGCAGCTCGAAATAACTTGACCTCCAAGGAGGACCAACATACACTGCGCAACTTGTCCCAAATCAGCCACAGGGTTTTGAGAGTAATAGGCGTTTTTGGTGTCTGGCACTGCTGGGTGCCTGCGGCGGCGCCATCCCACAATTAGATTTTTCACATGGAAAGTATTACAGGGTTCTGGCAACCAAAAGCATTTGCTAAAGTAGGAGACAGCTGCCCTGTGGATGCTCATGGTCTTAATGGGCAAGCCTTTCCTCTTGAGGAAGACCAGGTATTTTAGAACATCAGATTCATCAGCGGAGTGCCTATGAGAGCAACAATGTGTGGCTCTAAAGCCTTCAAAAGATGACCATGCTCTTGTATGGGCCTGCAGTGTGGTGGGTGCAAGTGCCTGTAATACTCCCTCTGTTGTCCGGTTTCCCAAAGATCTTCCAGGAAGAGATCTGGTAGCTGGGCAGCCTCGGATGCCAGGTCACAAAAACATTCCATCTGGAAGTGAGACAAGGCATCCACGATGTCATTGTGACCTATTGACATGGGTTGTGGGCAATGAAATGGGTTGTTGCATATGAAACTTAAGGTGGAATTTGGAGATCATTTTTCCAACAAACAAGAAAATAATGGAGGGACTTGTCTGGGGATGAAGGGTAGAACTAAGTCATTGGCTCCCTTCCCCCTTCGATGTTTAGAAAGATGTTTAGCACAATGAACATTTCAACAAAGATATTGTGAGAAATTGTATGAAATCATTTTGATAAACAGCATTGTCAAGAAAGAACGAATGGATGCTTAGTGGTATTTTCTGCAGAGGGCAGGTGTTTTGTTAAAAAAAATGAAAACAAGGGTCTGATTCAGATGTTAGCCTCTTTCTCTCTTCTCTTCTCTTCTCTTCTCTTCTCTTCTCTTCTTTTTTTTCAATGAAAGTAGAATGAAATTGTAGTTGAAACAAAAGTAATACGGCCAGGGACAAGTTTGAAATGGTAATGAGAACAGAAAAGACGAAACATGCATCCTTTCCAGTGCCAAACACTTTAATGAGGATAAAACAAATTTAAGATTGTAATCTCAGGTTGCTTATTGGGTGCCAGCACTGATACTACAAAAATGTGCCAGTCCAGCACTTTATATCAAGCACAACAGTGTAGAAAATTGCTCATTTTGAAACATATTATCTATCTCCTGAGTCACCCAATCCAAATAACTCTGGGATGTAAATCTTTCCTTTCCTAGATAATTGATTCTGATTTTGCATTACTGCTACCTCTCATCTGAAACAAATTAGTGGTTTATCAAGCTGTGACAGCGTTACCAAGTCTACCATCACATAACCCGAGCTGGTATAGGAAGTAACAAACAGGGCTGGTTTCATTCAGCAGGAACCAAGGCATCAGCTGGAGTTGTAGCTATTTTCTGCCATTAACTTCAAAGATGATAAACTGAAGGACAGTTAGACAAAATTGAAACCCCATTATGTTGCCTGAGTATAGCCTTTGGAAGACAAAAAACAAAAATCCTAGTGAGACATTCTTAACGCAAAATTCCCAACAAAAGAAAGAAATTCCTTCCAGTAGCACCTTAAAGACCAACTAAGTTTGTTATTGGTATGAACTTTCGTGTGCATGCATACTTCTTCAGATACCAACATGGCTACCTACCTGTAAAATTCCCAGTACTGGATATCTCCAGAGAAAGTATTGCTCAGTAGATTACGTGTGCTGCTTTCACCTGGAATACATCAAACTGGCACTAGATATTTAACTGGCACGGTTTGCTATAACAAAAGGGATCGCTAACCTAGATACTGGATCTTCTTAGCTTCTGCTTCTTCTTCAAAGAATATAAAATAGCATTTTTTAAAAACAAAACAAAACAATGAACAGTTACAAGATTACGAATATAGAGCCAAAACCGTGCTGGTTTTACATTTTCTTAGTTTCTACAATTAGAAAAGTCATCCCCAGATGGGGAAACAATGTATCCTATTCCCAAGGGTTCAAAGGCTGCCTGGAATTACTTGACGGTGAAGGAAAAGCACTATACAGAAACTCAGAAGCACCCCTTTCTTTATCACTTCACATTTCTAAAGGCTAAGCCCTGGCATTTACTCTGAATTAATTTCACAGGAGTACTATTGATTAGTTTACTGGAAGCTTTATGCCAGGGTCCACAAGCACTAGTTCAGGAAAGGCCTGATATACCATAGTTTTCACAGTGAGGTACCTATCCCTTGCTTACACACTAGAAAACATGAATGGCATTCATAAAACAAAAACAAAGGCAACCTTGTTGGTCCATAAAGGTGAGAAAGCCTCAGAAACGCTCAGTCAGTCAATGCCTTTATTTGGGCCAACCAAAGTGCAACGATACAGCTCACAAGCTGGAGAACTTGAAAGCTTTCACACTATTTTGAAACATTTTGGGTTGGTGCTAATAAAAAAAAGTTCATTTTGAAGAGTTTTTAAATATAAAAACATGCACACAGCTGTCTCATTTATAAAAGGAAAGATATGTCTTCTCTGTTAAGTGGTTTTTATTATAAAAGGTTCTTTTCCTTTTAAAAAATGCTCTAACGAAAAATTTCTTGTAAGTAAACTTATTTATGTCTGTAAACATCAAGCGATATAGAACTGTTATTAAAGCTGCGTTCTCGACTTTTTAGTTCTGTTGCAAGTACCGCTTTTCTGTGCATCTATGGTTAGATATTACAGTGAATGTCAACTTTGGAGTATGTCCAAAAAATATAAACATTCCTTCTCTCTTTGGCATACAGATATGAATGTTGAGCTGACACCATTATATTTAGGTGGCTGTTCATGTTCACCAGTGTATTTTGTAGTTTTTGGATGCTCACAAAATTCATCTGAGATTGTCAACATTTACCCACCTTTTGACCTTGCAGTGTAACATATGGAAATCTGGAGCCAGTGCTATCAAGGGTCCTCATGTGCCTGAATCTTCTTGTGCCAAGGAAATATTCATCATTTGTTGATCATAGCAGCCAGGTGTTTATCTGACTTAGGCAGCATTCCTAGATACAGTGGTACTGCTGGTTAAGAACTTAATTAGTTCTGGAGGCCCGTTCTTAACCTGAAACTGTTCTTAACCTGAGGTACCACTTTAGCTAATGGGGCCTCCCACTGCCACCGCGCTGCCAGAGCACGATTTCTGTTCTCATCCTGAAGTAGAGTTCTTAACCCGAGGTACTGTTTCTGGGTTAGCGGAGTCTGTAACCTGAAGCGTCGTCTGTAACCCGAGGTACCACTCATTCCAGTGTGGCAAAACCTCTGCTACCTTCAGAATCCAGCAGGTGATTTGGTCCTTCACATAAGGCTGATCAAGTTAGCTTATCAAGGTGGCCCTGTGCTGCATGTTTTGCAGAGGTGCAGCAGCTCAGCTGGCCAATTGACTGATTGGAAAGAATAATACAATCATAGAATTGTAGACTTGGAAAGGACTCTGAGGATCATCTAGTCATGTAATGCAGGAATATCTAGCTGGCCTGAACCCATGACCTTGGCCTTACCAGCACTATGCTAAAGAAAAGCAATCTTCAAAATTTACTTAGGTAGAAGGTCTGATTTGGAAAAATACTGGAGCTGTGCCAGCGGAGTACATTTGCGGTTGATTTCCAAAAGCGGTTGGAAGGTATTGAATCAGGGATAAATTAAGCCCAATAGCTTTTTCTCGTTCTTCCATTTTGTATGGAATACGGTTTCTTTACTATTCTTTCCCCACAGCAGAAAATCTGTAAGTAATTTCGAATGCTGGAGAAAAAAAATCAACTAAATAGATGGATAGCTTCACCCAGCAACTGCATTTAGTTATTGTTTGTACAGCAAAAGCAGATCTACAGTCCCATTTTCTTCCCTCCGTAAAGCTTTTTTGCCTTTCAGCACAGTCATTTACTGTAGTTTCCTTCAGCTAAACTCAAATCACCTCGCTTTATTGACTTTATCAGATGGCACTAAGTTTAAGATCTGCTAACTGAGCCATCAATGTTATTGTGTTGCATTTGACTCCATGGTGTCTGAGAGCTCTGCTAAAGAACATTTTCTTTTGGAACGCTACCAAAATTGTCATATGATGAAGGACACTGTGTTTAGTTCCTCTGACTATACCTAGGCAAGCACTAACCATCTTTTCCCTTCTTAATGCTATCTAGGTGGTGTCTAAAAGGAAATAACATGTAGTTAGACAGCTCACTGCACTGATTTTTTTTTTAAAATCCTTCTAAGCCCATTTCTAGTTTACCTATCCAAATCATTTTACTTGGATGTTTTATGGCTTAAATAGTGGGTGGGCAGATTCAATAGTCTCAGTAGTCGCTTCATTCTCCAGTGTTTCAAAGCAAGTGTTGCTACGTACTTTGAGTCTCGTAGGGTGATGAGACTCTGTAATAAAGTCAGCACTATCCAGGGTTTCCCAGTTAAGGACAATACACACTGGCCCAGGCTGGGTGAATGTTTGCAAGCTGGCATCTCAGCAAAGAGGCAATGAGGGAGGGAACTCACATGGTGGATCAGGTCTTTGAGCAGCTGGGTAGACAGACCAGGCTATGAATCTTCACAGGGCCAAAAATCACAGAACTGGGTCCTTGCACTAACTGATCACTACCGAGCTTGAAGATGCAGTGCTAACCTCCTGAGGACCAAATTTAGTGGCAGGGTAAAGAAGTGAATCTAAGAAAATGCTCTGCGAATTGAAAATACACTGCTGTTTCACATGTTTATGAGACATGGATGGCTCACTACTTACCAGCCAATGCAGATCCTCTATGCAGAATCCACACACCAATTGCACACAAGCACAAAGCAACACTCAATCAAGCCCAGCTGCACATGACATCAGTGAAGAATACTACTGTATTAAGGAACTGAGCATTTAGAAGACTCTCCAGAAAATGTTTATTCAGCCAGATAAACCATACATGGCTCCTTATCTCTCTTGGGAAACTATGGAAGATAAAATTCAGCAAGAGTAGAAGCAGCTCCTTGCAGGGTTTTCTCTTCTGTGCAGATGTGGACTGTGTTGTCTGTCTTTGCAGCTGAAAGGTCTTGGCCGGGCATAGGCAAAACTGGCCCTCCAGATGTTTTGGGACTACAACTCCCATCATCCCTAGTTAACAGGACCAGTGGTCAGGGATGATGGGAGTTGTAGTCCCAAAACATCTGGAGGGCCGAGTTTGCCTATGCCTGGTCTTGACTGTCTTTGCAGCTGATCGCCCTGGGTCTCCCACACTAGATCTAGTGGCTCTTACCAGTGACAATAAGGAAGGTGTCCCTGACTGAGAATCTCCTGATGATTCCTATTTACAGTAAAGGCTTTCGTTAAAAAAAAAAAAAGTTCCCATTGATTCAAATTAAGAACAGAAGCCTCCTCTCTCCTGCTAAGGTCAGGGGAAGTCTTTCCATTGATCTGATGTGTCGGAAGATCCCAAAGGGAGGTTAATTGAATATCTGCCTGGTGGAAGTTAGATAGGTGTGTTAATAATTAAGATCCTAGTTTTCAGTTAAAACCTCTCTCCTGTCTGTTAGCAGAAGCTTCAAAGAAATCTTGAGCACAATGTTCTGTATCTTATAATTGCTTGGGAAATATAATCACTGTTAACTTAAGCATTTTTCTTGTTTTGCTCCAGCTTCAAAAAGCCATTGTTGTGAGCACTGTTGTGCTCAGCTAATGCTATGCTTGCTAGGAAATCTAGAATATAAATTAAGTGCTAAACATACTTACTAGGGGGAAGGCTGCACTGATATAATGGGACTTACTTCTGAGAAAATGATGCATGGTTCACATTAGTCTAAGTGCAAAACAACAGACATACAAGCCAATTAAATAATATAACAGCATATTAAGACCAAAGCAATCACCAAATCACAGCAACCAAAACAGCAGTGAGAGATAAAAAGATAAATATAGATAGATATATGTCTAGGGGGTGCACCTTTGCTCACATCACTCGCCAACCCCCTACCACGCCCTCATATTAACTTCCTAGAGCTTTCTCTTCCCACCCGACACAACCACTAAGCACTCATTTCAACTTCCCAACCCTATAATTGATGCCACTTCTCTCTTCCATTCAATAGCCTCAATTGCACCCACTTTTACATTCAACATGACTACTTCTCCCCTTTTCTGTAAACCCTGCCCCCCATTGTATACAGACCACTGCCATGGTAACTTCTTGCATCTTCCTCCTTCACAGTGCAAATGCTAAGCAACCCTTTTATCTTCTGCCCAGTTACCTCTGTGCCATGAGAAAAGGCATTGAGGGGGCCTGGCCCCCTTCCAAAAAATATTGAGGGGGTCAAAAACAATTTGGCCACCTAGAGGTAGTGTGCCTGCCCATCAGGATGTTAGATTTAAACCTCTCCATGCACCCCCAGAATTGTGTGTGTGTGTGTGTGTGTGTGTGTGTGTGTGTGTGTGTGTCTGTCTATCTATCTATCTACACACACCATTTTGCTAGCACTACCAAATTTGGTTGGATCTTGTGACATAAGGAGGAAGACAGCAGACCTCCAAACAGAGGTTTAGCCACCCCTGACTTACACAGTATTTTACATAAGCTTTTCCTTGTGGTTGAATCTATCAAAAGGGTTGCCCCGCTTGCATAGTTTCAGTTTTCTTCTGTTGAGGTTATTCTAAATGCCTTTCCCCAATTGTGTCTCACAATTCCATTTTTCTAAGAACTCCAGGCATGCAATATTATGTTGCTGGGAAAATGTGCTAGCATTTCCCTTTCCACTCATCACCAGAATGCTCTATTGCATTCTGTGAAATGTAGCCATACATATGTTATGGACACCTATCGGTTAGTGTCTGTGATGTCAGTGGTAATCAGCAGCACAACTTTCTCTTATGTATGTATGGTTTAGAGACCTTAAAAGCTGTGCAAATGTATCATTGTTGTCAGCTATATTACAGTTTGCATGTGCAGAGGTTCTGGTCACAAGACCTGCTCAATTGCAGAGGTCAGAGATCGGATCTGCTGCACAATCAGTGTGTGTCTATTGAACAATGTGCTGCAAATTATTAAGGCGGCAACTTCTGGCCCAGAACTTCTTGGTATCCTTCTGATTAGAAAATAATTATGTAGCCAAGTCCTCATAACTGTACTATTAGGAAAGAAAGTGCAGAAGAGGCCTCAAACTAATCAAGTTTCCTGTTTATGCAGAATGCTTGCCAATAAGCTATCTATCTATATCCTTTTAAAAAAAAATAATGTATAATTATCATTCCGAGGGAATTAAATCCAGCTGATTGACAAGAGAGAGGAAAGAAAACTTGACAAGGTATTTTTGCATTACAAATCTGAAGCCAGAAGCAAACAAGGTGTTACGTTCCTGATATTTACTACTCATCTGTGATCATAAATCACATGTTTTAATTAGGGATTTATGCCAGTGATTTAGCAAAAACAAAAACACACACAAAACAGGCCAGAGAGTGTTTTCCTTCGAATGAGAAGGTTTGGAATAAGAAAACAAAACTAATAATGGCAAATAAAGGAAGAGCATAGAATTTCCATATGCCA